TATACTATTTTATGATATGATGATATTTATGATTTATATTGGTCTCTTTTGAGATTAATTGCAAACATATGTTGTAATCTGGCAACTGCTCATTTGACGATTGCCAAATCTATCCCCTAATCTACCAAAGTGTAATTGCTAAAAAAATTCTAATAATTAACTGCAATTAATCTCCAAAGAATCAAATATTTACACAGCATCTACATTATAAAAACATGGCAACACTGCTATACCGAAATTTTTTGTTCCATATTTGACATTTGTGGCTATAATCAGCTTGTACTTTTGGTAAATTCTACCTTTTTTTAATTCCATGTTATTATATTAGGCAACCATCAATACATTCCATCATTTTATGCAGAATTAGGCAACCATATATACATTTATTCCTATCTAGGGATTTCTAGGGACATTTTAATGTTCAATTTAGGGAGGACAAAAATTTTCACCTGGCAACTCTGGTTGTGTCTAATATTCCAGATAATGTGCTCGGTAGAGCGCGGCAATATTTGAATGATGAAATTATAATTTCATTACATATATATATATATATATATATATATATATATATATATATATATATACATATCGTTTAGAGAAAAATCAAAATGTCAATGCTAGGAATTACTATCATGGATATAATTAAAAACGAAAAAATACTCAATAATAAAGGAATAAAGAACCCAATGACACATCATCGAAATAATTACGATTACGAAACTAAAGTGCTGAAATTAAAAGTGATAATGGAAATATTCGAATGGCTACCGAGAACTGAACCATTTACAAGTTGAACAAAAGATATGAAAAGAATAAGAGCACACTGGATCCAAACAGAAAAGGAAAAGCTAATATTTTATAGATAGGCACAAACTTAACAGTGGACGAAACTGGCTGGATTGTAATTTCCCTCATTTCTTTCATTATATATATATATATATATATATATATATATATATATATATATATATATATATAATGGTAAGGTTAATTGGGTTAGCAGCTGCTAACCCAATTAACCTTACCATTATACTAATTAATAATTGGACAGCTGTGATCATTCTTCGTTTATATATTATATATATATATATATATATATATATATATATATATATATATATATATATATATATACATGTACAGAAACACATGTACTACACAAGCCACATGTGTAAATTATGACATCCTACAACTTATAAAAAACAATCGAAGAGATTAGTGTGGTTTGACCCTCGAAAGAGCTTAAACGAACATTCAAATGAAGCCATCGCTCAAAATTAAATGAACAATAGTGCTCTTACAGTTTTTCTTGTGTTTTTTTGTTTCGTTTCTCTCGTTTAGTTGTTAAATTTTAATCTTAAGTTATCGTAGAGTTTTTATAACATCTAAAAAAAACCTACAAATTGTTTTTGTATAGTTGTCGAGTTTTTGTAAGTATGAACCCTGTTGGTTGTTTACTTATATTTTAAAATCTTTTTTATTTGTAGTGAACTGATAATGCTTTTAAAAATAAAAGCGAAACGTATTCGAATAAATCAATGAAGTATATATATATATATATATATATATATATTATATCATAGACCATTCATGCCATAGACCATTTTCTCGTAAAAGATCCTTTTCGGCATCCTTTTGGTTTGCCTTTCTTTTGTCCATTCCCGCGCTTTTGTGATTTATTTCTGATTTGACCTTTTTTATTAATTTAAGTTTTGATAAATACAATTTCTCTAATAGATTTGCAGATGGCGTATAGCATCTAAGTGTCTGAAGCTCAAAAAGTTGAGCTTCAGACACTTAGTTTCGTACTATTTAAATAGCGAAATGCTTTACATTAGGCGCGTATTACACCTAAATTGCTAATGATAAACGTAAAAAATAGAATTTATTCTAATTCTCTGATGTTTGATTATAGTTTAAACAAAATATGAAAAATATAACACATACTAATATTTTTAATACTAAAAGATCGGGAAAGAATTTATAACAGCGGATTCGAACCAGTCGTTTGAGAAACTGGTCAGCATCGTTGCATTTTTTATTGATTTGCTTTACGTGCTGCATTAACAATAGCTGTTAATGATTTACATAAGCTAATAATATTGCCAATATTAACACAAAACATAACATATTAACGCTATTATGTGCAGTTGTGACTACTGCACCGATCAACGACTGACATGCTGCAGAGAGATCGGTTCTTAACCTGTTTCGACTGAAGTTAAAACTGTTTCGTGTAAACTGATGTTGAGAAATATATTTAGAATAAAAATTTTAAATTTCAGTAAGGTATTAGTTGTGAAAACAGATATTTGTGCAAAAAAACGGTGCATTATTACAATATTTAACTGTTTATCGATATTACTACTGTATATCTTATCCCTTCTTCTTCATTCCAGTGTTTAGGTATTTATAGCCTGTTTTGGCTTCAAACTTTGCTCCATCTTTCCATGGGACTTCTTACACTCATTCCTCCTTTCGTTGTAGTGAATCCAGTGGTTGCTCAGCACTTACCCTTTAAGATTGCAAGAGTAGGATTCTTTGGCCTAGAACCTCCGATTTATTTTGAAATCAGATACAGCTATATTTTTGATGTATTAAGTTTGCAAATGTTAATCAAACAATAGGTTGAACAATAGGGGACTCAGAGAATCTCCCTCTCTTATCCCGTTACCAGCTTCAATTAAGTCAGTTAGTTCTTCCACTTTTACTTTTATTTTGTCGTTTTGATAAATATTTTCGATAGTTGTGATTATTCCTAGAAGTATCTGTCTTACGTACAATAAATGGATAATCTCCTTTAATTTGACCCTGTCAAATGCCTAAGGTCCACCAAACATGGATAAGCGGGTTTGTTGTATTCTAATGATTTCTCTTGCACTTGCCTCATTATACATATAATGTCGGTACACGAGCTGTCCGACCTAAAACCTTGTTGTTCTTCTGCTAGTGTTATAATTTCATTCAGTTTATTTATTATCACTTTGGTTGGTAATTTTTGTGTTGTGTTTAATAAATTAATTCCTCTGTAATTATTCGGGTCCAATTTTTCTCCCTTATTGAAGACAGGTATTAGGATGCTTGATCTCAATTCTTGTCGTTTTCTGTTTTGTTCTATTATTTTTTGGATTAGTTTTAGTAGTTGTTTGGTCAAATCTGGTTTTCCGTACTTTAGGAGTTCATTGGTATTTCGTCTTCTCCTGGTGATTTTCTATTTATTAATTTCCTTAATGCGTCCTTTACATATTCCTCCCCGATATTTATTTCTTCGTTCTGATGTTGATGGTTCATTATCGTCACCTTTAACAAATAGGAATCGAAAGTAGTCTGCCATATTTCCTTCGAATGTGTTTCGTTTCTATTAGATCGTAGCTGTTTTCTTTGTCCTCTGATCATTCTCTATATCCATATTTCTTTTTGTGCTCCCTAGAAGTCGTGTTCCATCTGTTTTGAGAAGCTCTGCCAGTGTTCCCTTTTTATTTATCTGATCAAAGTATTCGTTTCATTTCTAATTCGTTTATAGTGATTGTATGTCTGTTGTGTTTGTTTTGTTCTATATTGAAAATAGGTTTTCTTCTATTCTTCACATTTTGTCTTCACTTCCTCTTTGAACCATGGAGTTTTCTTTTTTGAGATGTTAGTGTTTGTTACTTTCCTTTCTCCCAAGTGATTCTATTGCTGCGTTAATTATGATATTTTTTAGTTTTCCGCAATCTTCTATGTGTAAGTATTCCGTGGATTCCGTATTTAGTCTTAGACTCTGATTTTTTTTGTGTCGACGGTGCTCTCTTGGATGTGAAGTATTTTAAGATGAATCTCATTTTACATAATACTAGGCTATGGTCGCTACCTACATGTACTGAGTTTAAGCATCTTACGTCGATTATTTTGTTGGATGTATGTCTCTGTTTGGGGGAGAACTGTTTGTCTCAAGTTGGTCATTCAGAATTATATCTGTGTTTTTTAATTTGTTGATTTCCATAGATTCTAACAAAGATAGCTTAAGGCATTTATTTTGAATGTGAAGAATTTTAAATTCGTCATTAAAAGAATGATTATGATCTAGAAGGTGAAGTGCGTATGTAGAATCTGTTTTTCTATTATTGAAAACCCTTTTATGTTCTGCTATTCGTTTATTAAAATTTCTACCAGTTTGACCGATGTAAGTTTTTGAGCAGTCGCCACATTTAAGTTTGTACACATCACTGAGTAAGTGTCGTGTGATTAATTAAAAATACGGATCCAAGTTGTATTTCGGACCAGTTCTGGTCCGAATCAAATAGTTTTTCTTAATTTTTCAACATTTTTTAAATAAGAGTCCTTTAATGAAAAAGCGGTCAATAAAAAGGGTACCTACGCAGAAATTACAGTTGCAGTTGTCACAACTGAAATTTGAAAAATGTTGCCCGATTTCATAAGCGATTTTCTGTTTATATTTCTATTACTATCTATTATATACCTATCTGTTTTTAATTTTATATTCTAACCTTGCCAAATTATGTGATTATTTTGATAATTAAAGAATTGTATATAAAATTATAAAGTTTCTCCGAAATATAGTAAAATAGTCTGCGAAAAGAGTAAAAAGTATTTCTACTTCTTTCTTTCAATTATTGTTTCGTATCCTACTATGCGGCCTTATCTAAAAGCTTAGGCAGATATTCTCATTTTTGTATAACGGCAAATATTGTATTACAGGAACAATACAACAAAATTAATTCCATGTCATGTTTGAGCACCTGGATGTCAAACAATTAAATAACTGCATTTTTAACGTAAATCCCTTTAGACTCTTCTACTCTTCTACATTTGATGTTTGTACAACCGTGTTGCCACGTCTATAAACTTTTATAACAGCCGGGAATAACACTTAATACTAACTGATACAAAACAGTTCTTGTAATAATTTACTAAACTAAATCAGGGAAAATATGCGCCTCAAGGAGAAACTGCATGTTATATTACTAACACGGTGGTAAGACGGTGATGTATTTGTGCAGGGTATTATGGTAAAGACGGGGATTCCTCCAGTAGCGAGACCAGTAAGCAGGAAGACGAAAGCGGTACCAGTGACGCGAAAATCGGAAGCAAAAACAACATCCACTTTTCGGTTGGCGATGAAGGGTAAGTTTTTGCCTCTTGAGCTATTGATTTTAGTGTTTTATGTATGGTTTTTCGTTGTCCTGTTACGGGAAGATTACATGTAAACAAAATTAATTGTCAAACATAAATAGAAGACAATTCTTTATTTTTAAGTTAACTAACAATAGTGCATCTGTTTTATACCCAAAGTTTCGTGAAAAAATATAGATTAGTTGAACCGCTTATACGAGGTCAATACTATTTTGATAAATAGGTGATCAAGTTAAGGTGGCAGCTTCGAATAAAAATTTATTTAAAATAATAAGTGTACTAATATTTGAAAATGTCGACCAATTTTGGACACAGTATTCTAAGATTTTAAAAGATAAAGCAATAATTTCGTTAAAATGGTCAATTTGCTGTAAAATAATAGATCTAGGTTTTTTCATTAATTAGTACAGGTTCGTCCAAACTTTATCAGTTGGTGGCAGCCATATTGTGAAACTACTTGTCTCAAAATGGCTGCCTTTTATTCAGTCTGCTTTTCCAAATCACCATGGATGGATACAGCCTAGAACATGTGTAAATGATAATATTATTTTATAAAAATAAGTGTTTTGTTGTGGCAAAATTGTCGAGAGAGACATTGTCCTGTCGAGGGAACTATTCGCAGTGTGGTATATAAATTTGAGAACAATGGTTTAGTAAAAAATGAATCAGCACACGTACGTGTATATGCTTTTACAAACCACAACGTGGCCAATTTTGTGTCGTGACTTGTACAACATCTCACCCAGGAGATCAAGGTAAATGACTATAGACAATGTGTGCTCGCTGAATGGGTTCTTGAATAGTTCGAAACTGATCCTAATTTTCATTGAAAAATCTTTAGCGATGAGGATAATTTTTGGATAAATGGGTACGTGAAGAAACATGATTGTCGATTTTAGGACGATACCCATCCAAATAAAATCCAAGAGCCTGGTGATTGCCAAGTTCTATTGGTCTGAAACAGATGATATGGAATGACATGTGTAGCACGAGCTGAGTGGTTTGAAAACATGGTCATTTCACGTGGAGGTGATGTTAATTGGCTATCTAGATCGTGCGATTTAAACCCACTGACCCTGTTTTTTTGTGTTCGTCTAGGGTTTTAAATCATTGTCATAAAAATACACTAACAATTTTTTATGGCAATTTTTGAGCAGTTTATAGACAAAGGCAACTTTTCTATAAACCAAAAAATGTTTTGCACGACTGGTATACTATATCGACAAGAAAATGTCTTCTTTGTCATTTTTTTTGTCTAAAGAAACTTCCTGGACAAAAACAACGCATGGACCATTATGACAAAGAACAAGCCGAAACACATGACGTTTATCGTCTTTGACAAAGCACATGATAGCGTGCCCAGGAAACAGCTATGGGAAGCAATGAGAAGAATGCACGTTGGAGAGAAATGGGTGAATATAACACAAATACTGTATAAAAAGCAGAGGTGCAAATAAAGTTAGGCCATGAAATAACAAAAACAATCACCGCAACCAGAGATTTCAAACAGGAATGTAGTCTATCACCTACACTTTTTAGCATCAATATAAATCAGGCTTTGAAGAGATAGTATAGGGAAATGCGGAACAATGGGCTAACCAGTACAAGAGAATATATTACATTCACTACTTTTCGCAGATGACCAGGTCATTTTTACACAAGACAGGAAATATATGGTATATATGATAAGAAAATTAAAGGAAGAATAGGGACTCAAGATAAATATGTCTAAGACCGAATACTTATGTATTGGATCCGAGGTTGCAGATTTTAACTTAAGTTTAGAAGAGGAGAGTATTAGGAGTTGTTAGACTTTTAAATATTTAGGATCAATGATAAACCGAGATGGTACTTGTATGAAAGATATATAAATGAAAATAGCACTGGGAAAACAAGTCACGAAACCACTCCATGGATTGATATGGAACAACACTTCAACCAAAGAAAACAAAAAATAGTCTTTCAGAGCATAGTCATGAATATTAGCCTATTTGGAGTGGAAGTAGGGCCAATAATACATTTATACGAAATAAAATAAGAACAGTTGAGTTGACTTTATGAGAAGATTTCAACAAATCACCAGAGCAGATAGAATAAGAACAGAGTAAAGCTGGATTTATCGTTTGACGGACTGTACACGTAGACGAACTGGAGACGTAACAAGCGGACTGTAAATATTATTTCAATTTATAAATCGACGGAGTGGAATTTTTGAGCATAGGTAGAAACAGTGGCTAGACTGATGACCATGATACTATAATATCCTTTTATTATTTATTATTATTATTTTATAAATTCTTAACGTCTATTGCAACAAATAATCAACAAAATCAAAATTCGAATATGTTGATAAGCAACTTTACAAAATGGTGGGCGGGCCAGACAGTTCACTTTGGTTGACAGCACAAAATTCCTTCCTTTTGATTGGTCAGACGAAAATAACGCACTGTAAAAGATGAAAGTTGACCAACTCTCAGTTCATTTATAAATAAGAGTACACAAAAGTCTATGTTGATCTTTTTCCAGTGCGTCTGCGTCTTTTCAGTCCGTCAAACTATAAATCCAGCATAAATATGGAACAGAATGGAAGTAGAATACTCAATTACAAAAAAGTTGGTACAGAGCCCTGCAGTGGTACGGGCATGTACAAAGAATGCCAGAGCACAGGGGCCGAAAAGAATATTGGACTGGGACCTACCGGGAAGAAGACGGAGAGGAAGATGTGCTACAAGATGGAAAACATACAGTGTAGGTAAAATTTTATGGTCGGTATGGTAAAACTTAACAGGATATCTAACACAGATATAAAATCATATTTTCAGCGAATAGACAAAGATAACAATCATATTCCCCCTTGGTCTCCCCTCCATAAATCTTCTTGACGCCCATTTTGCCTGTTAGTGAGACGATTAGTTCCGATCAGAGATATTTTACATATTCTGTGGTTCCGATCCTCATAAAGCTAAGAAGCTAGAGGTGGGTCCTTCAGTTTTTTAAATTTTTATCGGAACCGTTTTTCGTAAACTGTAACTAGTTGATTGTTTACCAGTATTCAAATTAGCGAGTACACAAACATATTGGCTATTATCGTTTATGTGTATAAGTACTAAAGTGAAAGAAACTAACGAAGAATATATTTATTATAACTTGAAAAATAAATTAAACAATACAAATAGTACTTACATTTACATGGACTTAAGTCATCTTTATCAGTTTCTTTTTCTTGTACTAGTCAATTTTCAATAGTATAATCTTCTTTTTCTTTTTTTTTATAGAAGTAACCAGTTTCAACCATCAACTAGTTGATTTTAACGAATTTAACCGAAAATTTAGAGTTTAACACGGTTTAATTAGACTGCTGCCATTTTTCTGGAAACCATAATTCAGAAAACATCGCTTTTAAAATTAGTGAAATTATTATTCAGTGGGGTCTAAAACAAAAAGTAAATTTTGCAGTAACTGATAATGCCTCAAATATGGTCATAGCTATTAAATATGTTTTGGAATGAAAACATTTAAATTGTTTTGTTCATACGTTAAATTTATTGATGGAGGACGCACTTAAATGCTGTCGTGTACAAATAGATAAAATAAAAAGTCTTTTTTTCGACAATTCGGCAAAAAACACATTTCAAAAAAGTACCTTATCTTCAGAAACGCTTTTAAAGTATCAATTACAACATAACAAAGATCCCAAACGGCCAATCCAAGACGTGGACACTAGGTAGAACTTCACCTATTACATGTTAGAAAGAATGACGGAGTTAGAAGAGGCAATCCGTTCCACATTGGTATCAGTTAATACAGACTTAGACCAAATCTAAATAATGAAGACTGGATTATTTTTTCGTAATTGTCCTAAATTTTACGGCCTTTTAAAGAAATAATAAAAGTACAATGAGTGGCCAAAAATACTTGAATGATAGTTCAGTGATTGTTCTGGTACGCTGCCTGCAAAAATCTTGCAATAAAATTTTAGCAAACAGTAACCTTACATCCATAGTTAGTATCCGACGTAGTACGGGTTTTTATTACTAATTACGGGATAATTACTAATCTCGGGTTTAGCAAAAAGATTTAGAGGGATAGAATACAGTGGCATATTGTCATTATTTACGTTTATGGATTCACGATTTAAAGTGCAGGGATTTTCTGATAAAAATGACGCTAAAAAAACAAAAGAAAGAGTTAAGAAGCTGGTTACTTCTATAATTAAAGAACAAGAAGATTGTACTATTGAAAATCAACCAGTATAAGAAAAAGAAACCGATAAAGATGACTTAAGTCCATGGTGTATTTTTGATCAATTAATTGGACATGACTCATCTAAACGTACACCTGTAGCGAGAGTCCATTACAATGGTGGAAAAACCATCGCCATGTATCTCCTAACTTAACCACTATATTCATAAAGTATTGTAAATGTGAACACATGTTCAAAATCAGGTTTAATTTTAAATAAAAGAAAAACACAATTAATAAGAAGTAAAGTAAAAAAACTTATGTTTTTAAATGTCAATTTAGACGATTCGTGATTTAATAATAACGTGTAATGTAAACGTAGGTACGATTTACTATTTGTATTGTTTAGTTTAGTTTTCAAGTTATAATAAAATATTTTATTAGTTTCCTTCACTTCAATAAATATACAGATAAACGATAATAGCCATTATGTTTGTTTATGTAGGTAGTTTCTTACTTGAAACTACTATTAAAAAATCATAGTTACTTGTTTACGAAAATCGGTTTTGCGACGTCAATGACCCACCTCTATTCGTAAATACCTGTGTACGTTTTGATTCGGTGAGTTGACCACGCGACACGCCACGTTGGCAAATAGTTTTGTACGAAGCTTTTTTATTTATATGCAGTTTAATATTTTCATTGGAAATAAGGCATAATGTCACTTTAAAATAAGCTTATTTTGATGTTTAGATTTTTAATTCGGAAATAGTTTTTAAAATACCAAACATTAATAAATTTTATTTATATAAAACGATTTCCGAAGTATAAATCAAAATGTTATATTACACTTATTGTAAAGTAAAATTGTGGCATATTCCCAATAAAAAACAATAAGCTGCCATTTAAATCCATTTCGCCCAAATTTCATTATCTTGGAGCATTGTTCAAATGCGAAAAAGACAACAGGTCAAATAAAACCAATAAGTTTGGCAACGTTGAATTTCCCCTTTTTATTATATCCACTCCATATCCACTCATTTATGTTCGGTGATATAAAAGGCGGACACCTAATATATCTCTCTCTTTTTAAACAGTTGTTTCTCACTCCATCTCATGTAAGGTCCATACCGACCATAAACTTTTACCTATACTGTATATAGGAAATTGTCGAATGTTCAATTTAATGTATCAAGGGAAATTCCTAGTGGTTAGAAAGTGACTACAAAGAAAGGGGTTAAAAAGACTTGGTAAAAAGATTGGAATGGGTACCTAGTTGTAAGTGGATTTTTTCACATGTTCAAATATCACTGAAGATGACATGATACGACCGAAAATGTTGTGATGTTAACCAATTCTTTTCAAGTAGTAAATCAACATCAGTCAACAATCAGTCAAGTTCAAGATCAGTCAAGCAGTAACAATTTTGTATGAACTATCAGCCAATATGATCCAATTGTAGTGAAGATTAAGCTTAAAGCGGATAATATCTATAATATAATAAGAACAATAGTACCTGTACAGTTGTATAAAATTAAAAATATACAAGGAATAGTTTCGATGCATCTTTTTTCAATTACGAAAGAATTTTTTTTTTAATATTTACATGTACAATAATAAATTTATCAATCCCGTTTCGACGCCACTGTAATTTCGACGAGATTTATTCTAAAGCCCTTTTAGGTCACCTTTTCCATTATTTACTTGTTGTGTTGTTAGTCCAGTTTTGCATCCAATGTTCTTTGAGTAGCTATTAAATTTTTGGGTACAATCTAAATAGAAAATAGTGTATTTTAGTGTAGAGGATTGATTTGAAATTTTTTTTATAACATTGTAGTACGGTAGAAATGTAACTTTTTTTTAATAGGATAAGTTTTTCAACAATTTTAGGTTATGAGTAGTAGCTTGCACGATTTATATACATTTTGGTTTGAGAGGGTTTTGTAATACGGTTGATCTTATGGTAGTATTTATGTCGATATCAGATTTTCCATTTTTCTGGAAATATAATGCAGTTTGTTATTTCAAATGAATTTCCCAATTATATAAATCGTGCAAGCCGATTACGAGATAATAATATGATAATAATATAGCGATGTGACGTTATTTACTAGCTGTCATACGCTTAACATCTGTCAATTGTTTCGTGTTGTATATTGATTGATTTCTGTCATTTGTTAATTCATCATTTTAAGATAGTCTTCTTTCAAAGGTTTATAATCACCATGATTATCGGTATTATGTTTACTGCTGATATAAAAAATTGATTAGGCAAGCAATTAATATAAATAGGCAAGCAATTAATATAAATCTAGTCATGACATTTGGTTTCTTCCAGCGCTCCGTGTTTTTATAATTATTACAAATAACTGCTTCATTTTTATCAATGAGTTACATGCCATTTCAATTATTGTTTTTAGTTCTTAAGTATTGCGATAACATTGTTTTAATTTATTAAAGTTCCAAGATATTTCTATCTGTGTATTCGTCCTGTTTTTTCATCGTACCTGAAACGATGGAAAAACTAATAGTCGAGAGTAAAGTTGAAGGAAAGAGACCTAGGGACAAATTTGATTAACCAAGGGTTACACGAAGCCGAACAACTAGCTCAGGACAGAGAAGGATGTTGGTAAATTGTGAAAAAACTGTAAAGGCCTATGGTGTCACCACATCCCAAAAGGGAATAAGACTGAGGAGGAGGACTCGTCCTGTACTATGTACTATGTTTTCATTGGCACTAAATACTCTGGAATTAGTATTTCGTTTCTTGATAATGACAAAAAGGTTGTTTTTATCTAGGCTCATGTTTAAGCTATAATCTAAGCATTCCGCATAAACTTTTCGAACTATTCTCTGTAGGTCTGTATCGTCTGCATCCTTCTACCTATTTTCTTCTCTTATTTCTAAAGGCGTCTTATCTTGGTCCTCACTCGACAATTATTTTAATCCACTTATTATCATCCATTCTTGCTAAATGTGCTACCTAATTCCACATTCTTTCCACAAGATTTTATACTCCGGATCACCTCATTGAAAAAACTTTGAATGCTTGTAGCAGTCTGTGCCTCTACTTGCATGGCTTCGATTTATGCTCGTCTTCTTCTTATTTTTATGTAGACATGATTCTGTCTGTTGTTCAATGTGCCTCCAGTAAGTCGTTGTTCCATCGTTTTCGTCGTCTTCCTACTGATCGTCTTCCTATTGGGGAACTGTTCTTGCCGTCTTTACTAATATATCTGTTGTCATTCGGCTTATATGATCATTATATTCTACTATTCTATTTCTTACCCAATTCTTGATGTTCTCCACTTCACATCTACGTCGTATATCTGTACTTCTAACTTTGTCCGGTAGTGTTTTTCCATCAATTTTTCATCATCTTTCATCAAGTGTTTTCATCTCTGCTATTTCTAACATTCTTTTTGTTCTCTATTGTCAGGTCGTGTTTCTGCCGCGTATGCCATTATTGGTCTAATGATTGTTTTGTAAATTCTGCCTTTCATTCTTTCCATATATTTTTATTTCTCCATATTGTTTCATTCAGGCAACCTGCGGCTCTGTTTGTTCTATTCACTTCTGTTTCGAGCTTTCCATAGCTAGATAATGTGATGCCTAGATATTTAAACTCACATCACTTGTTCTATTTTCTGACCTTCCATTTCCAATTTACATCTTAGTAAATTTGCTATTATATCCATGCGTTTTGTCTTTTTTGGGGAAATTAACTTTTCTGGCGGTTATATTAAATTGGAATAAATATCCCTGACGATTGGAAAATTGGATACATCAGCTCAATATTCAAGAAAGGGGATAAATGCAAATGCTCTAATTATAGGGGAATAACTGTTATCAGCTCAGTGGGGAGCTTGTACGGTCGAATAATAAAAGAAAGAATAGAATCAGAATACGAAGACATAGAAGAACGATTTCGTGCAGGAAGATCGTGTAGAGAAGGCATACGATACGGTACCTTTGAAAAAACTGTTTCAAACATTGACGAAAGTAGGTCTCAGTAGAGAGTATGTGAATGCTATCGCAAATATATACAAAAATGCAAGAAGTGTCGTTAAAGAAGGAAACTTTATATCTGAATCATTTCCAATAACAAAGGGGCTCAAACAAGGATGTTGTCTATCTCCTACCTTATTTAAAATATATGTATATTCAATCATCGCTAGAGCAGTGGAGGAAACAAGAATCCGGAATGGGAATAGACATAAGCGGTGATAAATGTCTAACAACTTTATTTTTCGCAGATGATCAGGTAGTCATAGCGAATGATGAGGAAGATATGGACTACATGTTTAGAAAACTAAAGAAAGAATATGAAAAATGGGGCCTCAATATGAATATGTCAAAGACAGAGTATCTTAAAATAGCGTGTGGTGTATCCAAAAAAGATCATATCAGGAATGAAGATATTAGAAGGAGGACAAATACTGTATATTTCAGTGTAGACAGAATTCAATTCAAGGAGACAACTAGTGTGGTATGGTCACGTGAAGCGAATGAATGAAGATCGATGGAGAAGGAAAACTTTAAATTACATACCACAACAAAGAAGAAGGGGAAGGCCTTCAGTTGCCTGGGAAGAAAATGTACGACACCTAATGAGAGATAGAGCCATCAAAGGAGACGAATGGATGGACAGAGAACGATGGCGCTCGAAATGCGAGAGGCGGTAGGAACCTCGCATATATATATATATATATATATATATATATATATATATATATATATATATATTATGTAAAAGATTAAATCTTTTAGCGAAAGCCGCTATCGCTTTATTTTTCCGTGCTCGAATCGGTATCAATAAAGTGTTATGATCATTTCGGCCTATCCCAGCCTCATCAGACACTTGGGCTGATACAAATTCAAACTCAGAAAGTCCAACGAATGTCTCCCAAAACTTCACTACACCGTCGTTAGCTTCCAAAGTCGCCACCTGCTTTGACGGCCGTGAACGAAACGATATGATAATATCGGTATAATACAGAAAACGATATTATCATATCAAAACAACAACATTACTAATCCGACTTTATCGTCAACTGTTGTTTTTCATGTCGATGAGTCCTTTTCCTATCTGCGACAGAATAATGTCATAAATACCCTCTGATCCTTGACTAATGACTCGTTTGCATACTTTAAGTTAATTGCTCTGAGTCAACTATCAATTGTTTTGAATTTTTTGTTTTTTTTTTTAGGTTTGATGAAATTCCTTCACCACCTAGACATGTGAATAAGTTAACCTCGTACCCTAAGAGCATCAGCCACAGCCAACTCAACGTGACCACCGCGAATGCCCCCAGCAAAGCGATGACGAGATCGGTATCTTCGGAAATAGGATCACCAGTTTACGAAACCAAATCCAAATCAATGTCAGAGCCCAGTTTAGAATCCGCCAAAGTGAAGTCTTCCATCCGGCAGATGACGATCAAAGAACAACCGGCGTCATCTGTGGAAGAGGACATCTGTTCGACCGATTCGTCCATCTTAGATGATGATATTAAAAAAAAGAAACGCAAATTGAACTTCTTCTCCAAAAAAAGTAAGAACAAAGCGGACTGATGAGAACCCCTTTCCGATTTAGTGAAATTTGTTATCTAATTTTAAGTCCAGTTGTCCGAGTAATACATACACCTTGATCTGTTTATTTTTATAATAGAACTATGCAGTTTCTGATTTAGTTTGTGCGTACATTGTGGTTCTTTGGTGCTATTTTCGGAGTATTTATCGTCATTCAATGTTTATACAATATAATGAATCGAACCACTCTGTATATATTGATAATTTTTGATGAGTCTCATTATTACCATGACGAGATGTTTGGAAGTAGACTACAAAAGATGCTAAGCAAATAATTAAACATATAGTTTGTCATCAGACATAAATTTTGATGACGTTGCAAGCGAATTATAATCGGAAGCTCAAAATGATCGCAAACTCGCATTCATTCAGTGGCGTCCCTGCAAAGCGTTAGTGTTATCTACCGTTCATAAATTTGCATCTGCCACTGTATAATTGCCGCGATTTACTAAAGTAATACCGCTCATGGGTCGTTTTAAAGCCGACGAAAATGCACAATAATTGGCATGCTATATCAGTCGAAACATGAACAGGCAAAAGGAATTGAGAAAAAGCAGCAAATACTATAATTTTGAGTTGTCACTTTTTTTATTATCGTAATACTCCAATTATTTACTTAATTATTTATATCGACTTCCTTCGTCTAAAACTATTATGTGATGTCCTGAACCTAATCTTGTACTTATATAAACGAGTATTTACAAAAATGTTGACTTTTGTAAACTGATATTCAGTATATTTGTTTATAATCTATGTAGTCTCTTTTAGTAGATAAATTGGCTATTTTACAGTAAATAAGATGTCCACACAAGTTTTTATTTTACTCACAATAATTGTTCAATTTAACAATGAAAAACGAGAAATATACATGACGTCTGTCAATTTTTACTGATATGTCAATTGTATTGCATTCAACAACAAAAGTTTTGTGTGTACATCAATATTTACTAGCTTCTTGAAGTGTACTTACACAATGGAGAGTTATATATACGACCCAAATAGTTTTTAAATTATTTTCTATTATATTTTGCTCCAGTCAGCAATGTATAAATGCACAGAGACCTTTGATACGATGCGTGAAAGGTTTTTAACAGTTTCTATTACTAAAATTTGTTTTAATTACTTTACTTAATATTCTATCTATTTTATAAGTTTATTTTTTGGTAATACTAATTAGTATTACTGAATATTTCTGCAAAGAAAACAAATATTATCATCATAAATTACTGAAATTAACGATAATATTTAATAACTTACAGAAAATACCATCTCGATATCGTAGGCGTAGCTTTGACACAGTATGACATATAATCGAAACAGTATGAAATTTCCATCAACTTCAATATAAATGAATATTACATCCATATTCCTTAATATAATTATTCTTTTATTTATATAGAATTATTTAGAAAAAATAGTATATTTGTTATGTGAAAGGGAAATTAATTGTAATATTTGTCATTCTGAAATGTCATTCAGCCGGTTTGATTTTTGGTTAGTGGTGATTTAATGAGCTTTTGTTAGTATTTTAGTAAATTTATTTAATTTATTATAACTTTGTATAACGTTTTTTGCAAAATTGTATACATGTTAAAACTAGTTCAGTGAATGATATGCCTATGTGATTTAGAACAAAGGGTTACTTCAACCACTAGCTTCTTCTTTCAAATAAGTAATGCATGAAAGAACTTTTGGTAAATATAATGCAATGAGTTTTGAACATAGATAAATAATATAATAGTAAAAATAGATAGGCAAGTCAATGTATAATTACGTTCATTAGGACCCCTTGCGGCTGGGGTCAATACTAATCATCTTTTGGCGGCAAATTCGAATGGATACCCCTTACATACATACCCTTTAGCGCCTCTTGCGGGCTATTTTGTTACTAATTAAAATTTACTGGAAAATAAGGATATATAAAAGATGCACAATTTTTTCTAGATATATGTATATTTATTTGTTGTTTAAGATAAAACAGTTATAAACTAATTACATAATATTTATTACACATATTTTAAGAAACAAATGTTAAATACTATTATTGTTTGCTTCCTAACAACTTACTCTCATCATCCTTTTTGTAATTTTTTCATGATTTGTACACAACTGAACAATACAATACTTCACCATGTTTAGTTTTTTTACTAGCACAACACAAAATTTTTTTCCTACAATAGGTAACTCAAACTAAACTTTAAAAACTAAGTAACCAACTTAAATTAAAATTACTAAGAATAAAATGCAAACGAAAGTTAAAAATAATAAAATAAAATTCAAAACTTGTAAACAAACGGAAGATCTGTCATTACTTTTAACAGAATTGACATTGCGGAATTAAGCTTCGTTTGATTATTTTATTGACACCCCGATACTGTATTAAAATAAATGATTGATTAAAGTCTTCGTGAAAGATATTTCTCTTTATTAACTCGCTGTGGTTAAAGTGATGGGGGAATGAACCAAGGTCAGTCATATAAGATTCCAGGTCATGGTTTTGAATGTTGATCATCTGATGGAAAACGTATGCCAAATTGAGTATCTTCTGTGTACATAATTTGTATGGCTTACTGGAATAAAGTATAATAGTTAAAAATGTATAAACTTTTTCTTAGATTTCAAACAATTTTTGACTTTTAAAAACGAAAGTCTTCATTTTTATGTTGGGTATGACAGGTAATAAGTTACTGCAAAAAAAACACCATTATCTTTTTAAGCTGTCCACTGTGTGACTCTTAAAAGTAATAAAATTAAATTAAGTCTATATATGATTAGGTGCTGTTTGTAGTATTTTTCAATTGTTGTGGGTTATATATAGTCATATATATATATATATATATATATATATATATATATATATATATATATATATATATACACACGGTGGTCCTTAAGTAATTGTACAAAAAGAAACAGCAGACGCTTTAAAATATTACGATTAAGGATAAATTGCTTTAATAAAAAGTTGATATTAAGAAAGATACAGGTGTTAAAGTGGAAATTTAAAATTTTATTTTTTGCTATAACTTTTATGTTTCTAAACATTTATGTATAAAAATTTACAATTAGATACTATTGAATATCAGCAAGTATAATTTGATGCATACTTTGATGTAGCTGATAGATTGCGCCACATATGTGGCATACATTTGCACTTAACTTTTTTGCTCTTCAAGTTACCGCCATTTGTGATAAAAAATATTAAAGATACATTATTTTAACAGAAGAAAGGTATACTTAGTAATAACTTTAAAACTCAACAGTTTTCGAGATAATCACATTTTACAAATCAAGTGCATAATTCTGATTTACCGCAATTACTCCAGGCAACTAAAAAAAATCGATAAAAACATCAATACTTTTGAATTTTGTTATAAAATACCTTTAATAAAGTTAATAGTTAACGAAATATTAAATTAAATAAATATATCAACAGGATAATTAATAATAGGATTTAACAAAATAAGAGAATAATATGATTTTAAATCGAACATTTTACGTTTTATAATAAATTAAAGTCATAATCAAAACATTTTATTTCAAACCAAATTAAGAAATAGTTAAACTAAATAACATTAAACTTTTTGTTAAAGTAAGTGTTCGATATATATGTCCACCATTTTCTTTAGTTCATTTGTCAATACATTCCATAAAATATCGTCTCATATTAAATAGCATCATTGTTTCTAAATAAACTGATGCAGTATTTATTATAAGCATTATAAGTATCATAATAAGTATTATTTTGGGATTTTTATGAATTAAATAGTTATATTAATATCTCACCACAAGATCAAGGAATATGACTACCACGAACAATCCAACGTTCAGGAAAGTTGTGTTTAAGTATGTTCTCAGTGCCATCTCTCTATAATGTGGTGATGTACCATCTTGCATAAACTACATATTTCGCCTTAAGTTTGATGACAATTCTTCCAATATATCAATAAAATGATTCTATAAAAATGTAAATAAATCTCACTATTAAAATTACAAGATAATTCGCATGTCCGTAAAAAATAATTACCAGTGGTTCCAAAGCATACGTTTATTTAAAATGCATGTCGTGGTTAGTGGTGGGTAGTTCCGGAACGAACTAGTTCCTGGAACTAGTTCATTTTATATTATAAATGAAATAGTTCCGAAAATTAAATGGAACTAGTTCCGAGGAACTATTAACGTCACTCCTGATCTTCTATTTGATACCGTCATTTGTGCGCGGACTGCATCTCTAAGTATTTCTTCGATCGACGAAAACGAAAAAGGAACTAGTTCCGAGCCGGAGCCGATTAGTGGATGAAGTAACATAGTTCCGAGGAACGAGGACTGTATGATAATCGTGATCGGTCCGGTATGCGATGCTTGATCGTTGGCTGTAACTTAACTTCAGCTTGTAGGTACATACATACGTATATACATTATACTGTGCTTAGATTAATTTATTATAATTGTGTGTAGTAGCCGTGTTATATTTATGTTATAGTTATTGTTAAATTATTTACTGGTCATGATATTTTTAGAGTTTAGTTTAATTGTGATTTAATGATTAAATTTTAAGAAATTCTTACGCTTATAGTTTCAAAAGTAAATATTTTTAAAAATCATATGATACACATCAGTATGATCCTGTTTGGCTTTCACGTGCTTGTATTGACAATTGGGAATATGTAAAATGAATGTAGTTCTTACACCCAACGATATAATTAAATTTTACGACTTCCTGTCTTCTATGTCGAAAAAAATTGCTATGTAAGTAAAGTATATAAATATATACAATGTGTTTAACATCGCACAGATTTTGTTTATAAATAAATCTTTGAAGAACAAAAAATTCTTAGAAAAAAAATATATAAATAACAAATCAACAATCATAGAAAAATAATAGCATTTTGATTTAAAATTCAGCAAAATATGTTTAGATAAAGTAAAAAACCATTTCGTTATTTTCGTGAAATAATTATTTAAACCAATGCCTTCGAATTTAGTTTCCCATCGTTTACCATATTTTACTTTTATTTTATTTGTGATGTCGAATATCGAACCTAAACACTCGATCCGGTTCATATCAATATTGATCATACCGATCTGATCG